CTTTGCGATGTGTGCATCTCCATGCTTATGTGTGGCAAATGTGTAGCTTGAGTGTGTGTGTGTGTGTGTGTCTTTGAGTGCGAGCATGAATGTCAGGCTTTGGCAGTAAATGAAAGTCTTTATCTGATCAATATGGCCATCATCTCCAAGATGACTGTGGCCTCTCCTGAAGAGCAGTCATAAATCACAGGCAAATATGGAAGACACAAATCCATACTGTAGCCGTGTGTTTCACTGTCACTTTATATGTGAGCTGGATGGATATGTGTAAATATCTGTTTTACATAGAGGTGCGAAAGGTGTTGAAATAGTTTGAGATTCGGAGGATGTAGAAATGGCGATCGGGAGTGTTTTTCCTTCCACGTGTAGTACTTTCTACTAGCAAAAACCTGTTTTGTTTTTTTTTATTCGATACGATACTTTGTGATATTTTTAACCCCACCAAAAAACATGACAAATACTTGGCGTTTAACAACTTCAATATGTATTGTTCATAAACGCATTTAACGCAATCTAACAGCTGTCCTGATCGATACTTTATGAGAGTAATCAATACTCGATCAATACTCATGCGAGTGTCAATATACCAATACCGCAGAATCGATACTCCCATCACTACTCTCTGCGTCTGATTGGCTACTGATATTTCTTTATCGACTTGACCAACGGTCATAATCACTTCATAAAATGTTCGGTAACGTTACGATGCTTGGAAGGAGGCGTGTGTCTTCATAGTTCCTCCTCCGACATGATCGTTGGATTACTTGGATTATTAGATTATCAATACTTACGAAGACAAAAAAAATAACAGACTGTTATGACAATAGTCACTCAGTTTAAAGCGAACGTATTCTGGAAAAAAAAAAAAAAAACCCAACATGGACGCCATCAGCTGTACGGTAAGCACGATCCTCGTCTTTCTCCACAGGGTTAACAACAGATTTCCTTTTCTGTGCCTGATGGCCCCCAGTGCTCTCACTCTGAATAATGTAGCCTCCTGATATCAGTGACAAGAGTCTCAAAACCAAAATAGCATCCCGAGCTCAGATAAATATAGAAGGTAATTAAATCAGCACCAGGAGATAGAGAGATGGCGAAAAGCAAGAAGAAAAAAAAAAGGGGTGGAGGGGAGGTCTGGTTTTATGTGAGCATAAAACCCTCAACTGCAGCGAATTACAGTGTAGCACTGGACCCGGATGAGGAAAAAAAAAAATTTTTTTTTTTTTTTTTAGTGTGTCGTCTTTTTCGCTTACTGCGCCGATTAGGGTATATTTTAGGAGTTAAAAAAAAAATTCTTTGTGTGGATTTGAGGGTTAATCTGTGGTCATTTCAGTGCCTCCCACAAGCACTGTGAGTCAGCAGTATTTTACCAGTTTGTCCTCAGGAGATTCTGTTGTGTGTGTGTGTGTGTGTAAGAGAGCCAGCGCTGGCTGCCATCTGCCTTTTGCCCCTTTTTTTTTTTTTTTTTTGCTGCGTGTTGGCGTCCTTTGCTTCGAAACACACCTCGTCTTTTATTCTACCTTCTTCGCCCCTCTGTCAGATGTTCTAGTTCACTCTGAAAGTGGCAAATCACCCGATTGATCCGGAGTGTGACAGTGTAGCACCGGAGCCAGAGGAGCAGGGTGAAAGGTTGTGATGGGGGAGGGTGAGGGGGTGAGGGGTTGGATCAGCTTGTCAGAGCATCCAGGACCCAATCTTGACATGATCTCCTCAGGGAAAGTTAGTTGTTGCGTGTGCATGTGTATTTGTACGCCTGCATGCGTGTGCGTGCGCGTGTGTGTCCTTTCAGTGTGACATGTTGTGACAGAAACTGCCTGACAAGCCCGTTTGCAGCCCAACACCGGCCGCTGCAGAGAGACTAATGATGACAGAGACACTGCTGTCTTTTCCTCTCCTATCACTGACACACAGACACACGCACACGCACCATGTCTTCTTGTCTCTCGCTGTCTTTGTCCTGTGTCTCTCCCTCCACTACCTCTCTCTCTCACACACACCCACACAGACAATGGCATCCTGTATATCCTCTCCATTGCACAAAGAAATAAACACACACGCATTTACATGAACTAACACACACACACACACGCACGTACGTGTACTACGCACCACCGTTTTCACGTACGCTGTCACACTGCTCTGCGTACCTTTTTTTTTTTGTTTTACATTTATTTGCGTTTTCTTTTCCAGCACACACGCGCATGCACCAGCGTGTGCGCCCACGCATGCGCACGCGCCCGCGCACACACACACAAACTCACACTAATGCTGCACTACTCTCTGTCTTGGAATTTTACATTTTGATGAAGGAGGAAGCGCATCGTCCAATCAGAGCGGTGGGAGCAGGGAGAGACCATCGTAGCCCAGACAGCAGGGTGGTTCAGAGGCACTCTGACGGAGCATCACCAGGACACTTACTGCCCCGCGTCCCCTCGTCTCGGCGCGTTTTATGGTACGATCAGCCAGACTCGATAAGAACCCCTCCTCCCTCTCCCAACATCTTCTGTCAGTGTTAGGGTGTAGCTACTGATCCTACAACTACAGCATAGGATGAGAGTGAGGAGGAACATCAGGTGTCACAACTCCACAACCCCCGGGTGAGGCTGCATCGCTACGACAACCGGCGGCGGCGCTGTCAGGTGAGTCGGAGAACACGCTCGCACACGCTCGCACACGTCCACTTTGATTTAAAAAAAAAAAAATCATGTGCGATGAAGTTGTTCTCCATGGCTGAGTCACTGGTAACTGTTGACTTTGACAGACGGATACGCACAGGTGTCCACCAGGACAACCGCACCGAGACTTTAGCCTCGTCTGATTCGCCACTCAACGATGGCAGAGTTATATGTCTGCGTGTGTGTGTGTGTGTGTGTGTGTATGCATTCCAAGTTCCAGTATGTACAGTGTATGCGTGTACATAATGCTGTCACTCCCACTGTAGTGCTTGTGGGAGACAAAGGGTCCCCCTCCGTCTGGCATTGTAGAACTACACGCACCTCCACCGATGGGTGGGAAAGTTCTCCCTCTTTGACAGCCATCATGTCTGAACAAAAAAAAAAAAAAAAAAATTCCAAGTTCTCTCTCTCTCCGTCTCAAAAATACACACCACATCATCTGTGTTAAACACTCCCGATAGGAGTTACTGATAGGAGGACACGGTCACAGCATATGATCGACCCGGCTGGT